GGATCATTCAGAGATCCTCGCTGAACTTCTGGAGTGAGTTTGCTGCACTGAAAGTAAAGGGGCCGAATAATTTTGCACGCCCCACTTTTCATTTTTTTATTAGTTAAAAAAGTTTCAAAAATCCAATAGATTTCGTTCCACTTCACAATTGTGTCCCACTTGTTGGTGATTCTTCACATAAAATAAAAAATTTATATCTTTATGTTTGAAGCCTGAAATGTGGCAAAAGGTTGAAAAGTTCAAGGGGGCCGAATACTTTCGCAAGGCACTGTATGTTATAAAATAAATATTGATTTCTATGTAAACCAAATAGATCTGATAAAACTACCAAGTGATGTATACAGATTGTTAATGACACTTTTATTCAGAAACTAGTTAATTCAGCAGCAGATTAATATATTTTTGTAAGGTTGGTTCTCTTTAAACATGAAGGTGTCAAACATTTCAAAAGAGAACTTTAGAGATGACAGAAACCCATATAAAGCAGTGGCTGTTCACCAGATTCTGAGCCCTGAGGTTGTAAAAAAAAGATCTCAAAAAGATTTACATTCTTCAGGTCCAGTGCAGGAATTGTAAACTAGTAGCACTACATATGGTGCCTGTGGGCAATGCCTTCTGTGAATTTCAGACTGTTTTGAGATTCAGATCGCTTCATATCGCTACATTTTTAAGGGGGCACAAACACATTCCTCAACTTACTCACATCCCATAATGCATCTTAATATTTTGAAAAAAGCAGACGGTTACCATACTTCCTATCAGCACTTTTGTATTTCAACCACATCTCTGCTTTATCGAGTACTATCATTTTTGTCATCTATCTTTTTATCAGTTATTATCCAAAAAATGGAAACTCCAATGGAAAGTCACTTAATATGGCACAACACAATATGTGACCGGTACAACTGGAACATGTTTTGACATAGTCTACCAGTGATATTTTGCAGGGAGTGGTACACAACAAAGTCAATCATCTCACACCAGATTACCAGAGGTGGAACTCTTCTAGAATATTCCTTGTTCATGCTCATGCCCTAGGCTGTAATTAACTGTCATTATGTAGTTACCTGTTTTTCCTTGCACCTCATACTAATGTGTGAACATTATGATCCTGGAATTTGTGCTTATGCCCATTGTTGCTCTTTGCTGATGATGTCTTTCTTTCAGAGTTTTATGCTGAAATCACTTTACACACAAAGAGCTGTCTTGGTCTTGAAACTCCTGCCAAACATGCCCTAACAATCACCCCTCTTTCAAGGTCATTGAGATTTCCTCTTGCAGCCATACTAGCCATAATTATAGGCCATAAGTAGTAGTCCCTAAGCACACTGGGATATTATTTACTTAATTAGTGCAGCAGCCACACCTGCATGGAAGCCCTTGCTTTCAATATATTATGTCTGTTTATACTGCTTTTTTTATAATAACAATTTTAATAATTGCTTACACTTATATAGCGCTTTTCTGGACGCTCCACTTAAAGCTCTTTACAGGTAATGGGGATCCCCTCCACCACCACCAATGTGCAGCATCCACCTGGATGATGTGACGGCAGCCATAGTGCGCCAGAATGCTCACCACACATCAGCTGTCAGTAGGGAGGAGAGCACATTAATGAAGACTATTCATAGAGGGGGATTATTAGGAGGCCATGATTGGTAAGGGCCAATGGGAAATTTGGCCAGGATGCTGGGGTTACACCCCTACTCTTTTCGAGAAACGCCCTGGGATTTTTAATGACCACAGAGAGTCAGGACCTCGGTTTTACGTCTTATCCGAAGGACAGCGCCTGTTTACAGTATAGCAACCTTAGTTTTTCCCAGGAGGTCTATCCAGGTACTGACCAGGCTAACATCTGCTTAGCTTCAGTGGGTTGCCAGTTATGAGTTGCAGGGTGATATGGCTGCTGGCTAATTTTTGTCTTCTAACAGTAGTTCTCTTGTAGTACTGTGATTGGATGAAGAGCTAATTAATATTTATTACACAATTCTTTTTTTTTATTTACATGCATTCCAGAATATTAATTATTACATATTTCTTTATAGTAGAAATAAAACTTCAGGAGAGAGGTCAGAGATAGACAGCTTTCTCAGACTAAAGATTGCTTTAGTTGCTCCTGCACCACACTGGTGCTGCTCACTTGACTCCAGTTTCATCCTCTCTAGTGCTCACTGCCTTTACTAGCACAGCAAAATTCAGAAACCCAACCATCCTCCTCCTCTAAACTAAGATGGGATTAGTTTCAATGCCATCTGAACGCGCAGCTCTACAATGTGAGCCTCCCTGTAGAAATAAACCACCTCCCTGCACCTGCCATGGTGTCACCTCTTTCTTTCAGCTCTCCTAACATCACTTCTCCATGGAACTCCAGAAAAACCTCAGCCGCTTCCTCCCTTCCCTTCCCTCTCTTTCTCCAAAATCTCCACTTATGATGCCCATTCAGCCCTGTGGCGGCAAGAACATGGTTTCAGCCTGTATTGGATCTGGGCTAGATCTGTGGTCTCCTGAAGTGTATGACACATAATTCCAAACTGACCTGGCCAGCCTAAAACATAATTATTTTAATAGTTTAAGATTCTGTAATGGTGCATTTCTGAGGGTCTTTTGGGGGATTTGGATAGGCTGGCATTTCATCAGCTCAACATGTCATTCTGAACACTTATAGCAGATATTTTTTTCTCTCTATCACATTCATTACTACTGAAATGGAGTATTTAACAATACATTCTGGAGGAAGGATAGATCTTATCGCATAGTGTACTTTCGCTAGTCTACATATGTAAGTCTTCCAACTAGGTCTTCTCTTCTCATATCTTTCTCATATCCCTTCTTCTGCCCTTTATATACCTTGCAGAAAAAACACCCTAGCTCCTCACTTGCAATAGTGAGGGGGTGTATGGGTAGTCTGCATCAATGTATTTCAGGGCGTTTTGGGGGTTGGGATATCTAAGGGGTTGGCTAGTCACGCCGACTGCTTAATTCATATGTTGTCTCTCTATTGCATTCATTAGGATCTAGCCGAACTACTGAACTAATTCATGTTGAGCCAAAACTCAATTGCTATCATAATAACATGATTTTTTTTTATTGCAGCTTACAACACAAAACTATTTTCACATCTGTTTATATAAGTTATGTAACAACATACACAAACTTTTTATTCTCACAATACAAAAGATAGAAACTTGTGAAAAGGGAAAGGGCTGATGTTCAATAGGCTTGTAAGAAACAGTTTTAAACGGTGTGTAACAGGATCCTTAAATAGGCAATAAGAAAAAACAAACACAGTGGTAAGGTAGAAAGCTATGTTATCAGTTATTCATCAGTTTTTGATTTAGTTAGTCTTAGTCAAGTTGACGAAAATGTCTTAACAACAGAAACATTTCCTAGCACTAGTCAACTTAAGTTTGTTAAGCAAAACTAGTTTGTATCAGGGAAAAAGTAACAAAAAACTTCCATCTAATTCAATGAAGTTCTGAAACAAAGTATTTCTTGGCTCTCCACTGCTTTTCTTTTTATCATCATGGTACTCTGGTTTTCTTATCCTAATTAGTACAGTGTAGAATTCTTATCATTGTTTGTTAGGTAACCATCAATGAACACAAAATAAAGGTTCATGATTCTGGAGTGTAAATATGATCAGCTGGAAATAAGGGACTGTAAGAAAACAAAAGGAAAAAAATGGCAAACCCCTCTACTCCCCAGCTTTCACACTGAGTCACCTTGCAATCCACGTACAATCACGTACAAGCCGTAGGATTAGACTTGTTAAAGTCAGCGTGCTATTTGCCAGACAGAAGGTAAATACTTGAACAATGAGCCTAATGTGATGAGATTTCCGGCTGAATTGTCTGAATTATAGTCAAACGTGATTTCATCTAGTCTCACTCAAACAAAACTGCAAAGACAATAATTATCATCATTGTTCATTATTTTCATGAATCTTTCATGGTTGACTAAAACGAAAAACTAATAAAAAGTGCCTTTTTTACCTCTTTATTTACAATTTAGGGAAAAACTAACCAAATCCACATAAGAAAACCTTTCTTCTTTTCCTGTCTGTAAATAACCAGGGATCAAAATGGCTGACTGGCTTCAAAACAGCTGTGAATCTTCCATAAAAACTTTCCCCGAAAACTACTCTTTCAAAAACATCTCTGAGACTTTTCAGAAAAGCTCACTCATGGTTCCCGCCCCTGGCTTATTGTTGGGTTGCTTGTCTACTCCTGTATTTCTCTCATGTTGCAGTAGCTCCACCAGGTTCGCAGCCAGCAGACATTGATAGCCCTTTCTTGATTTTAAGCCCCTTGCTTCTGATTGTAAATGTCACCAGACCAATCGTTTTCCACCAGTTTTTCCAGTGACATCTGTCTTAGGGAAATGTAGTTCAACCAGAACTACCATGTTGTCTCTATCTGCTGCCTTCTTACAATGAATAAATTAAAATCCATATAGTTCCTTATAATTTGACAGTAAAATAGATATTGTCTTTACATTATATTTTTTTTAGCATTTGCTGTCATGCAGTTCAACACATTGACTTTTTTTTTCTCTCACAGTCTCTCTTGTTTTTGTTGGACAGTATTGTAACAGAGATAGAAAAACTAAGATCTAGTGGAAAAAATGCAATATGTTGACTTTTGTTGACAAAATGTACATTATTTTATGTCACCAAACCAAAGGAGAACAATAATGCTATTATTATAATAATGCTAATCATGCTATTATGTCAGTATTATGTCAATAAAAGCCATTCCGGGGTAAAATCAGCTTTAAGGATTTTTTCAAGTTTAATCAGATTCCTGGTAAGATGTGAGCTTTAGTATGAATTTTAAAGCAAGCAAATGCATTAACTTTAAATGACTGTTGATGTGTAACAATAACCAAATGATAGGTGCCCAGAAACTATAATTTCATGCTTTAAGTTATTTTTTCCATAAGATGTGTTCCATAATCACACCTCAAAATTCTAATCAACTATTGTTCTTTATGCTTTTCAGAAAGGGCTGAGTAAGACCTTCTTTGTAAATGAAATCACCACATCTGCCCACAAGTCTGCTCAGGGTCTCCTGTGAAACAGTGCCTGAGGGAGTGGTTAAGCCTAGAGGGTAATTCACCTTTAAATCTCTTTAAGCATCGTGGGGCATCTTAATGTCTGCCTTTATATATCTGAATTATAGCTCCATCTATTAATCCTGTACACAAGAAGTAGTCTCTACAAAGTCTCTATTGTCCTTTTCTTAGTCATCATTAATCTATGCCAGTCTCCAGAAATGAGTACAGTGCAGTATTCTCTTTGTAGTATTTCCCAACATAATTACCCTTTGCTGCTTCCCATTGTTGTTGTGTTAACTGTGTGAAGGGGAGAGATTTGATATATTTTCAGTTTAGAGTAAAGCACTAGTAAGTAGCATTATCAGTTGAAGGCACATTTGCATTCCTAATAATTAACAATGAGGACCAATGATAAGCATCCAGGTAGAATATGGATTTGTTGACCATGAATCAAGTGGAAAAGTAGAGATACTGTATCTTACCCAAATTTATATTTAAGATACAACTGGGTGCTGGGACTTGGTTAGTCCAAGGCAAATGAGTTTAATTTTGTCAGAAAGCCAATCCATGAAGAACCTGAACAATATCAGAAAAATCCCAAAAGCCATTTAATGATCTTGGATTGTGGTTTGTGGAATCTGGCATATTTGCAGAAAGTTATTAGTATACCAATAAATTGTTTCATCAGGCTATGTGTATTGTGTAATATTTACAAATTGTCCTACTTAGGGTTAAGTGAAGGTTATTTGAAGCATAATTCATATATATATCTACTTAAAACAATGAATATGAAAATAAAATATAATAACTATATCAATGCATTCACTGAATAAATAATATGTTTTATTTACAAATAATTTAAAAAGAAGAAAGTCTTGAATGTTACACTAATAACATTGACTAACATAAATACTTCATGTGTCCAATATCTTTTATTTAACTTGCATAGTCAAAAACATAAATTAATAATGTAAGTGAATGTGTTGGCATTAAAGTTTGTTTGCTAAATTCGAAGTGTCTGGTGCCCGCAAGTATTTTGAATTACAATGTTAGGCTTCGTGAACTAAAGGTAATTAAATGTAATGGAGATGCTGTGCCATGTTGTAATGCCAAATGCAACTGCTGTTCTCTGGTTCTTTTTGATATTTTATTTTATATGTTTGATATATTTGTATATTTTTATTGTTTTATAAAGCTTAATAGTTCCAAATGTTGTGTTTTTGCATTAATACAGTGGGGAAAAATGTCTTTACCAGCCTTAATCTATCCCTGTTCTACCACCTTTAGGTTTATGCATAGAAAATATTTTTAAAAATGAACATTTCAACCAGCTGGGTATCTGTGATTTTTGTTGATTCAAAAATATCCTGGTGCTGGTGGACAAATGATTGCAATATTGGATTGAAATGTTGGGGTTTTTTCCACTACTTTCTTACTAAGGATAAACTGCTAAAAATCTTAGACACTGTGTTACACTTACAAAATCTTGCTTCACAATGTAAAAACTAGTTACAGGTGATGGTGATTACAGATTGAGTTATTTAGGCTACAATGTTATGTATGATGCCATTCATTTCAAGTAATGTAAGATGTTTTTATATAACAATTCATTATTTTCTTTTTCAGATGGTTTAAGCACATTTGAAACATGGAAGTTTGAAGATGAAAATCCAGGAGAGAAAGTTGGTTCTGGTCTTGTAGTGTTACAGATGAATGTATTATTTTTACATTTGAGAGGTATTGGTATTTTTTCAGCATCTTTTTTTTGTCAACAGATTTTTTTAATCAAACACAAGTTTCTTTTTACTGTTACATTGGAATTCAGGGACAACACAAGGCTCTTGATGCTAAAGATTAATAAGTCTAGACTGCGACTGAAAGAGCTGAGTGTAGATCTGTCAGTCACAAGCTACTGTAGCTGTTCTATATATGGTCATACAAGATTTATAGATGATTAACGAAGAATATTAGGTCAACGACTTGTCTTCATTGTCCTTTCAAGGTTATGACAAAACAAATGCTGAGTTTACACATCCTGAGCTTATAAAGAAACATTTTTGCTAGGGTTGAATAATTCCTTAATATTACAGGTCACCTTTAATATAAATAATTTAAGAAAAAAACATTGTGTGACAAGTTGAATTTATAGGAAATTGGCAGCTATTCAGTAAAGATTAAAATTAAAATGTTGTGGCTGGGAAGCCTGACAGGGAATTTTTGCATACATAACTTTATTTTCCTTGCAGGCCATAATCTCTTTTATCAAGGGCAAAATGGCTAGAGGGGCATGTGATGTGTTAAGTTGCTCAGTGTGAACCTGAATTTCTAGTATAGCACTTCAGGTTCTAAATGCTTTTTTAATGTTGATACAATGTGTGTGGCTATAGTAAAAAAGATCGTAGCTTTTCCATAAAAATCCAAATATGCAGACAGGCAATGGGACTTAAAATATTTTCAGGAGTTTTGGCTCAAAGAGTGCAATCTATGCACTATATTTTTGTTTCAAAGAGAGTTTTGTGCTTAACTTTTGCTTGACTCTAAAGTGATGTCGTTTACTTGCGGACAATTAATAAATGTTAATTAAAGTAACACTTAAAGTGTTAATTAACATTTTTTATGGTTTGAAGGCCAGCAAATAAGGACATAAGCATTTTGTCTCAGAACTCTTACCTAGATGCTATTAAGCAAAAGTTGGTACTTTCTTTCTCCTGTTCTGTATAATAATTTAGTTATTTTATTTTTGTACAGATACTATGGACTCTATTCCTTGTCATGTTTACTGGTTGTCCTAGAATGTTTAACGCAATTTCTTGCACTACTAACAATTGGTAATATTTAGAATTTGATACAACAAAAACAAAATGTGCAGATGATTGATTGTTAATGGGCAATTTAGCAATGAACAATGTAGTCAGTCAAGAAGGAAAGTTTTATTTAAATGTCATCCTATGGTGTACTGATGGAGTCTATTAAGTAAATTAAACACATTTCTAAATGAATAGACGCAAGTTGGTCAATTTTTTTTTTAATAATAAGCAGTTTAGGTTGGGTTTGGAAAATTATGTAAGTTGTGCAAAACCAAACAGCAGATATTTTAAATGTTTAATTAGTTTTGGAGAAAAGGAATTTTTCAAAATGTTCTTATTGTTTTTACAACAGCAATCATTTTTCATGTTAAATGTATCTGGTCCAGTTTAGACTCAACAGCACAAAGCTATTAAATCCTACAATTGTGTTAACATTTGTTGACATTATATTGCTGTAGTTCAGGTTTATCAAGTTCACATTCAAAACAACTAAAAGCTTTTTTAAGTTGTACGTTATATTGATATGTATTTCAATTCATTTAAACTTTTTATTCATGGTCAAACATCTCTGTTTGGGAGTTAATGCTTAGCATTTTAATTTACAACAACATACTTACAAAAAGTATACTTATAAATATCTATATATGCATTGCAACATAGGAAAATAAATTGCTATCAAAGGGGCGAGAGTGAGAGGGTTGTTTTTGTATATTTTATCATCTCATTTTATACAGAGAAGAATGTTTTTTGGAAAGAGGTGGTGGAAATGAGGGGTAGGGCTATGATGCCTTTATTTCTGGAAATACAAACTGGTTGTATTATGATTATCTGCAAGACTTCATGAAACCTGCACATCTTTTCTGCAAGACATTGCTTTGTAGTAAAATTGTCTATATTGAAATAAAATCAATAAAAATATTTAAAAAAACATTTAAGGTTGTTTTTTTCACAAACTTACCATGTTCAAGTTTATTGCCATTATACTCATATACAGGTATATGGTATAATGAAATGCAACTTAGCTAGCTCTCAGATGATAAGTAGTACAAAAGAATTGTATAAGAAAAGAAAGCCAAAGACAACAGGTAGTGTGCAAAACAACATCAGATGTGCAAAATCATACATCAACAGAATGAAATAAAGGATAGAGAATTATGGGGAGTGAGCTTCTTGACGTGAGGTAGAGGTAGATTTCAATGTGTGTTTGAGTTTTTGATAAGAGAGAAGGCACTGTGAGGTTCAGATCGTAGGTGAGAGAGGCTGGGAGGTTAATAGTTTGATAGTGCGGGGGTAAAAACTGTCTCTGGTAGTCCGGGCCCAAATGCTCCCGTACCATTTTCCAGGTGGTAGAGGGTCATGCAGTCTGTAGCTGGGGTGTGTGGGGTCTTTGATGATGCTTAGAGCTTTCCTCAAGCACCGTCTGTCATAAATGTCCTGTATGGATGGGAGGGCAACCCCAGTGATGGACTGGGCAGTTTTCACCACCCGCTGTAGGGCTTTGTGGTCAGCAATACTGCAGTTGCCATACCACACTGTGATGCAACCTGTCAGTGTGCTTTCTGAAGTGCATCTGTAAAAGTTAATGAGGATCTGGGGACATATCTTAGGCTTCTTCAACCGTCTTAGGAAGTACAGGCGCTGTTGCGCTTTCTCGATCAGACAGGTGGCGTTGAGAGACCATGTGAGGTCCTCGGTGATATGGACACCAAGGAATTTGAAGTAACTGACCCTTTCCACTTCAGTCCTGTTGATGTGGATAGGGGCATGTCCGTTTTGCAGTTTTCTGAAATCAACATCACATCACCAATATCACATTGTTCACTTAGAAATTCAATATGATCAAATTCAATGTTGCCCCTGCCCAGACACAGTGGATGAGTTGTACAGTGTTATGGTAGAAGGCAAGAATGACCTTCTATAGCATTCCTACTACCTCCAAGGGGTCCAGATCAGACCCAATGACAGAACATGCTCTTTTGATGAGCTTGTTCAGCCTGTTAGCATCCCCTGCTCTAATACCTGAGCCCCAGCACAGCAACGTGTAGAAAATGGCACTCACTACAACCAACTGATAGAACATATGGAGCATCTTACTATACAGGTTGAAGGACCTGAGCCTCCTCAAGAAGTAAAGTCAGTTCTGAATCCTTCATGTAGATGGCTTCAGTGTTCTCAGACCATTCCAGTCTATCGTCATTATGTACACTCAGGTATTTGTATGACTCAACTATCTCCACGCCACTCCCATGGATGCAGACTATGGATCCAGTAGGTTGGACCCTCTTCCTCCTGAAATCTATCACCAGCTCCTTCATCTTTGCCACATTCAATTGCAGGTGGTTCTCCCCACACCACTCCACAAAGCTGCTGACCAGTTCTCTGTACTCTTCCTCCTGCCCACCCTTGATACATCCCATAATTGCAGCGTTGTCTGAGAACTTTTGCAGGTGGCACGACAGAGTTTTATTTAAAGTATAGAGGAGTATAGAGGGTGAAGAGGAACAGAGAAAGAACTGTTCCTTGAGGAGACCCTGTGTTACTCACTACCTGTTCAGACACACAGTTCTGCAGTCTAACAAACTGTGGTCTCCCTGTCAGATAGTCAGTGATCCATGAAATCATGAAGGCACCCACTTGCATCCCCTCTAACTTCCTTCCTAGCAATAAGAGTTGGATAATGCTAAAGGCACTGGAGAATCCAAAAAAAACGTAGTCCTCACAGTGTTGCCAGCCTTGTCCAGGTGTGAGTAGGCCCTTTGTAGCATGTAGATGATTGCATCTTCCACACCAATGTTGGGACGATAGGTGAACTATAGTGTGTCCAGTGATGAACTGACCAGGGGTCTCAGGTGGGACAAGACCAGCCTCTCCAGTGTCTATGACATGAGAAGTCACCGCTACTGGTCTATAGTCATTGAGGATAGAGGGGTGCCCTTTCTTTGGTACCGGGCAAGCATTGATGTTTTCCAGAGCACAGGGATGTCTCCAAGTGCCCGCTCAGGTTGAATAGGTGCTGGAGTACTCTGCTCAGCTGATCAGCACAAGCCCTCAAAACTCTGGGACAGATGTCATCTTGTCCTGTGGCCTTACCCTGATGTTCTCTCTTCACCTGGTCGGCCGTGATGGTCAGCCGGCCTTGGGGGATGGTGCTCATAGCCCTATCAGTGCTGCAGGTGTTAATGGAGGTGTAGGAGAGTGGCAGCTGCAGGGGATGGGGGAGCAAGTACCTGTTGGGGGTTGTAGCTGTAGGTGGCCGTGGGTGTGGGAGGATGTTGGAGGTGTAGGGCAGTTGCAGCTGCGAGGGCTTAGGGAGTGTGTGGCTGTGGGGGGATGGGTGGTGAGCCACAGAGGGCCCTGAATTAAACCTATTAAAGAACTGGTTCAGGTCATCAGCCATCTCCAGGTACATCTTTGGTGGGAATGGTGTTGTCTACCCAGAAGTTAATGTAATCAGTAACACAGTCTGCAATGTTGTCTATGTCGTCCCCATGCGGTTCGCACAGCACTTCCCAGTCGTTAACTTCCAGAGCACAACAAAGACCCTCCATAGTCTCCTGAGACCATCTCCTCACAGTCCTCATGGTCACAGGTTGGTGCTGGACAATAGGCTTGTATACTGGTATAAGCAGGACAAGGTTGTGATCTGATCTGCCGAGGGGTGGAAGGGCAGTGGAGCTATATGCATCCTTAGCATTGACATATACATTGATAAGTCCAGTGTTTTATTTTCTCTGGTTGGGCACTTAATAAACTGGTGGAAAATAGGCAAAGGGGTGGAAATAGAAATGTGATTAAAATCCCCTGAAATAGCCATGAAAGTGCTAAGGTGTTGTGTTTGAAGCCTGACTGCGGCTATGACATCACACACTGCCTCTGCATTTGCCATAGGCAGAATGTAAGCAATAACAAACAATAGGAACTCTAGTTTGTAAAGTACAGTTGTTTCAAAATTTTTAGTCAATGAAATGCTGATAGAATATATTGTAATGGAACAAGTAATAGGTTTATTCCATGCTGAAAAAAAAGAAGAAAGAAAACACAACGTTTCGGCCGTGGAGCCTTCTTCAGGTGTGAGAGTGAAAAGGCAGTAGGCAAAGGTAATGTAGGAGAACAAAGGCTGGGAAGGAGGAGGAGTGAGAGGCCATTCAAGAGGTGTGAAATGAAACGCCCAATAAATGGAGAAAATTTAAAAGAAGAGTAGTCTGTCATTAAGAGAAGGGGGAATGTGTGATCCTAGCTGCAAAATAATTTGGGTTTCGGTTGTCTTTCTGATGTATGAGTTCGGAAAACTGTCTTTGAAACACAGACGAAGAGATTAGAGTGGTTGTAGCCATCAGAGGTGAAATGAGAAACAATGGGCTTGGAGAGATCTTTAATCTCCACAGCCCAGACATGTTCTCTGAAGCGGTCTCCGAGTCTCCTTCCTGTTTCTCCAATGTAGATGGCTGGGCATTTACTGCAAGAGATACAGTAAATAAGGTTGCTGGAGGTACAAGATGCCATCTTGCAAGATGTGTACTTGCAGAAAAGAAGTTCCACCTATTTACTTCCTCTTAATTCATTTTTTTTAATATAGGACATTAGGTTCATTCTATATTTTTTCCTTTCCTTCATCCAAATTTAAAATAAACAAAGTCTTGATTTGGAGTAAATACATTTCTGCAGTATTCTGTTGTATTGCAAAATATATAAATATTCCTTGCAAGACACTCAGGAAGTTTACTGGAGAAGTAACTCTGGAGCTTTTGATTTGGAATGGCAAAAAAGACAGTGGCTCCTTGGATGCCAATATGCTAGAATCTTTATTCCTTTTTCAGTAAGAGATCAATGCAAAATTAGCATTTACAAATATATGAGATACATTATCCTGCGGGACTAGCACTGATAATTTGAAGACAATTTTAAAAATAATGGAAAAAGCAGCATAGCATGTGCTTTCTTGCCTTAATTATCACTTACGTTAATTTAATTAAAACTTTCAGGAATAATTTATTTGTTTTTGTTAACATAATAAACAGAAGGTAATACAATCAATGATTTCTTTACATACTTCATGCTCCCTTAACATCTGCAATGAAGAAAAAACTCCTCTGACATTTAAAAAAAGCCAATTTCGGGTTCAAGATAGCAATCTAGAAAGTATATATACAGGTTACACATAGTCTACAGATAGATGTTTGAAGGCGACACGT